AAATCCCCATAACTAATGGCTACAAAAACCAGTGGGGCTGAGGGAGACAGACGCTTCTGGGGTCCCAGGCAGTTCCTCTTAAAGGGCCCACAGATTTACTTGATTCACTCCCTTTGAGCCCCAGTGCTGGGGCAGCAGTTCAAAAGGCACCAGATACATATGGATAAGCAGTGAAGTGTTTGGCATCAGGGCAAGAACTGGGGGCCAGCTTTCACACAGACAGAAGTGCTGGCAGAGACCACTGTTCCTTTGATGACCCCTCTCCACACAGAGCCAGAAGGTGGATGCCACATCTGAGGCTTCATCAACCTGGTTCACACTGTTTGCCCTGCCCTGGTGATTCCCCGAGACCCCACCCAACCCAACTTTCATGCCACCCCTGAAGTTGTTACCAGTGGCTTTTCCATGGAATGGCCTATCTTGGCTCATCCTTCAGATTTTCCTAAAATCTCTCAAACAAGCAGCATCTGGCCTCAGCATGCCCTTGTATATCTTGCTAAGTGGCCCCAGGCCTAGCATGAACATCAGCCAGCCTTGGGTCATAGCATGGTCTCTCCCTGGTACCTTCAAGCCCAGCACAAGTAGCATCCACTTGTGGACTGCTTTATAGCTCATGCTGGGTGACCCTCAGAAGAATGCAGGTGGCAGCTGACTTTGGCCTGCACCTCCCAGGAAGCCCCAGAGCCAGCAACACCCAGTAGACAGCTTCAGACCATGTTGAAGCACTACCACTTAACAACCTCCACACAAGATACACTCAAGGGGTGGACTCAGTGGGCATCAGAGCCATGCTGAAGTTAAGTCCTGCTCTATGGTGTGGACACTGCACTGCTGATCCTCCATGGCGGCTGGTGGTCACAACCAGTCTTTGCAGCTAATTGGTCTTGTGGTAAATCCCTCCCACTGAGGTGCCAACAGCAATCAAGACTCAACTACAAGAGGAGGGTGTAGACAGCCCACACAATGGGCACACTTCAAGTACCCAGCTTGGGTGATAAGGGAGGCTGCGCCGATGGACCCTACAGGACACCTACTACATTAGGCCATGGTACCAAGGCAGGGAGTCATAGCAGCTCTACCTAATACACAGAAACAAACACAGGGAGGCTGCCCAAATGGGGCAATGAGGAAACATGTCCCAGATGAAAGAACAGAATAAAACTCTAGAAAAAACAACTAAACAAAATGGAGACAATCTAGTAGATGCACAGTTCAAAACACTGGTTATGAGGATGCTCAACTTAGTGAGAACTTTAACAGCATAATGTAGGACGAGTCAGAAATGAAGGATACACCAATTGAAATGAAGAATAATTTACAGGGAATCAACAGCAGAGTAAATGAAGCTGAGAATGAAATCAAATCAAATCAACAATCTGCAATATAAACAAGCAAAAAAACAATCAGAACAACAAAAAGAAAAAAAGAATCCCCCAAAATGAGGGTAGTGTAATGAGCCTCTGGTACAACTTCAAAGTATACCAGCATTCGAATCATGGGTGTGCTGGAAGGAGAAAAGAGCAAGAAAACCTATTTGGAAAAATAACAGAAAACTTCAATATGGTGAAGGAAACAGAAATACCAGTCCAGGGAGCTCAAAAACTCCCAAACAAGATGAACCCAAAGAGGCCCACACCAAGACACATCATAATTAGAATGCAGCAAGTTAAAGAAAAGGGGAGAATCTTAAAAGCAGCAAGTGAAAAGTAGTTACCTACAGGGGAGTTCTCATAAGGCTGCCAGCTAATTTCTCAAAAAAACTTTGCAGGCCGAAGGGATTTGCAAGAAATATTCAAAGTGATAAAAAGTAAGGGCCTACAACCAAGATTATTCAACCCAGCAAAGCAATCATTTAGAATCAAAGGACAGGAAGAGAGCTTCCCAGACAAAAAAAAAAAAGCTAAAGGAGTTAGTTAATCACCACCAAACTAATTACATATGAAATGTTAAAGAACCTTCTTTAAGAAGAAAAAGGAAAAGATAAAAGGAAAAATGGCTCACAGACATGGACAACAGTATAAAGATTGTGGGGGGGAAAGGAGGGTATAAGGGAGGTAAATGGCAATGGAAAAAAATGCAATAAAAAATTTAAAAAAGTAATATAAATAATAAAATGGTAATAAATACATCTCTATCAACAATTGATATCTAAAAAACAAAATAAATGAACAAGCAGAGACAATTTTGATAGCTGCCAGATGGGAGGATTGGTAAAAAAGGTGAAGGGATTAACAAGTACAAATAGGATGTTACAGAATAGTCATGGGAATCTAAAGTACAGCATAGGGAATATAGCCAATAATATTCTAATAACTATGTACAGTGTCAGATGGGTACGAGATTTACCAGGATGATCACTTAGTAAATTACATAATGTCTAATCTCTGGGTTGTATACCTCAAACTAATATAATAATGTGTATCAATTGTAATTGAAAAATAAAAAATAATTAAAAACACAATGTAAAATAACTCACTAAAAACCTTTTATATTGATTATGTGTTAAATGACACTATTTTGATAGGTTTAATTAAATCAAGTATATTATAAAATAAACTTCACCTTAAAACAAACAAACAAAAGTTGGTAGGGTGAGAGGTACATGGGAATGTCAACACGAGAGATCCTTTGCTAATGGAAATGTTCTGTATCTTTACTTTATCAATGTCAATATCCCAGCTGTGAAACTGTATTATAGTTTTGCAAGAGGTGACCACTGGGGGAGACTAGGTACAGGATGCAAAGAATCTCTGTATTATTTCTTAATTTCTTAGGAGTATATGTACATCTAGAAGTATCTCAATATAAAAACATCACATTAAAAAAAGATATATGAAGTGATATTAGAATGACCAGGACAGACTTAAGTATATGAACAACCACTGTGCTGAGACCTACTACTGGTAAGGCATTATCACTGTTTATTGGAAAAGGAAGAAAAGTAAGCATTGGGCATATTGTCTATGCCTAATGAATTAAGTTTACTAAATACCACTTTTATCTCTAATGCTCCTACTGAATTTCAGGCAGAATATTTAAAAGTCTGTATAAGAGAATAATTAAATTGTCTAATGACTCACTAGAAACTGAAGTTCAAAGACACTGGATGTAATGTGTGAAAGTGAATTTAGCCTAGGTTTCCTCGCAGTTAAAACCAAAGATGATATAGTGCTTATTATCTGACAAAGGAAGAATACAAATTCAGTTGTAACTGTACACTTTTTCTGGACTTAAAACTCAAAAAGAAATTTATTGTGGGGTGCTTGTATGAAATGATACTGGATGACATTACAGTTGTCTATAACTATGTTTTTACTAAAAACTAGAAATACTGTTCAAATAATCAGCTCTCGAGTTTGTGATGAGTATTTGATTTTTTAACTATGTGCAAAAAGTGAACAAAAACACTCGCTTTCATGATCACATGGAAAACACTATTACAGGCCATGTGTTGGAGAGCACCCAGCTTGTTGCAGGGTGATAGGGAAGAATGAGCAGCTTGTGCCCTGAAACCCCAGGCAGCCAGTGCTGAAGTCCGTGTGGGGCTTGCTGTGCTAGAAGGAATTGCAACAGTGAGTGAGAAGCAGCAGGAGGCTGCAGGGGCCCAGGTAACCAGGGTGGGAAGCCAAGTTGCTCTACCCCTCTTTGGAAAGCCAGCCTCCATTCACTCATTCACTGAACTGGTATTTACTGAGCACTATTAAAAGACAAATGCTATCTTAGACAATGAACCACTATAAACTGCTGACAGTGCTATAAAAGGGGATTCCAGAGAGACTAATGCAAGATGAGCGAAGAGCAGAGGGTGTATAGGTGCACATGCATGTGCATATGAGGAAGGCCTGAGGAACACAGGAACTCTGCAGGCAGTGAGTGCCCATGTGGTCTTGGATTTTCACAAGGTACCAGACTCCTCTTGCTGTAAGATCTTCTCCACATGTAGCAGGGGGTTGGGGAAGATTTTCCTGCAGAGGCTGATGTTATGTGCAGGGTGAGCATGAACTAAGCAGGAGATGAGATGAGAAGCAATGTTCTTAGCATGCACAAAAACCCTGAGGTGAGAGGGAACTGGTATATAAGGCTGGTGATGCTACAGCACAATGACCTGAGGAAAAATGGTACAAAATGAACCTAAAAAAGTAACCTAAAACTCACAAGATCAAAATAAAGACTTGGATATTAGTTTAGGAACAATGGAAGCACTTAAAAGAGTGTGACACAATCAGATTTACATTTTTTAAAAAAAAGATTATCCTGGCTATGATGTTAAAAATAAAAAAAGAGCAAGCAAAAGTAAATTTGTTTTTTAAAATTCAAAGTAAATTTGTTTTTAAAATTAAACAAATCATTTAATAGGCCACTCAAAAGATGAGAGCCTTGGGCTAGAGGCAGGTGCTCCTGACAGGCGTAAGCAATTGCCTGGGCTACGCCAGCCCACATCCCACTTCTCTCTGCCCTTCCTCTCCATATAAATGGCAACCCATCCAGTGCACACATGTGATTGTGTGGATTTGCTCATGGGAAGTAAAGAAAGTTCTCAACTCATGGCTTTTCTGTTTTCAACATGCCATGAAGCAAGACTAGCAGAGACCAGGAACTGGCGTGGAGGTGCTGTTGAGTGATTCTGCCAGGCAGTATGAGTGGGTTGTGACCACACACTCACAAGAATACCATGCTGTCACAGAGCTGCATATGAAAGGCAAAGGGCTGGCCCCATCCTGTAGAGGTCTGACTTCTCGATATCAACAAGTAAAATCATAATGAAAGGTAACTGAGTACCAACACCATATGTACTCATCCTTCTGGTGACAGTCTCACAAATTCTACAGAATTACTTGACTGGCAGGGATATGCCTCCTGCCATAATAAAGAGTAATTCTTTAAAAACAAAAAATCAGTATTTATTTTAGGCAGATAACCTCTATGAAAGGAACTCTCTAGGAGGGTCAATATTATTTCCAAAGGAATTTTGACTAGAAATGTAGCTAAAGGTTACTTACACAAACACAATGTCTCCTCTCTTAGAGTAAGCAGGAATAGCACTGGCTATGGTAGCAAATCCATATGAGTAGATTATGGCTTCTTCTGTCTTCATAAATTTTGCTAGACGGTCTTCCAAATCCAAGTGCACATCTATTTCAATAATAAAAAATTAAATGGTTAAATTGTCATATAAGTTTTCCACTAAGTAAAGAATAAAGTTAATACCATCACTTATGACCAACTTGTAATTGTTTTTCAGTTATAAATTATATCAGATTATTAAGATAATTCTGGGCCAATACTACTTCTAAAATCTGTGAAGTGAATCTGCTACTCTAGGTTTTGCTAATCTGATATTTTGCTTTGATAACTCTAGCCCAAGAATTCAAAGTCCAGTGACGTAAAGCCAGCCTAAAGTCCCTCAACCAAGAGCAACAGTACTTTACTAATGTACAATATTAATTATTAATGACCTTTTGCATTTCAGCAGATGTTACCAAACCAGGCACCAAGACAACTGTCAACCAGCTCTTAAAGGGAAAAAATAAGAAAAGAGGTTCATTTAAAAAATAAAAAATCCATACTTTGCATACTCTAAAACAGCCGGGGGGCTCGGAGTACAGGTGACCAACAACCTTCATGTTGTACCTCCTTGGAGAGCCAAATTTATATTATAGCAATGGGGGTTACCTAGGAGGCCCCTGTGTGTCTCAGATTAAACCCCAGACACCTCCCTGAGGCCCACCCTCACAAAGTGAGTCCCTAGAACTTACACCAGAGGGAGGAAATACGCTGTCAACCTTCAGAGTCCCAGCGAGCCCAAGCACTTATTTTACATTTTATCCCTGTTTTGTCCTCCAACACAGGCCTAAGATGCTTGAATAACCTTTGCTGGCAGTGCTGCATCTCCCATTTGACCACAAAGTTGAAAAAGGCAAGAAAAACATTGCTTATTGAGACCATATTGCATCCCAATGGTTGGAGACAAAGGGTGCAATATGGGTCACAGCATCAGAAAAGTCAGAAAACTCTTCTTGCTGACACAGTACAGATTTACAGATCACTAAACTGATTAGTATGCAAGTAGAATTTATTGGTAATATGTTCTCAAGGGAAAGAACAGGCCTTGCCAGCGGGGCAAGAGAGGCACAGGCAAAAGCGTCAGGTCCCTTGTCCTGAGGATTTAGGTAGTTGGTGGGGTGGGGTGAGGGTGAGTATGATGTTGGGAAATGGGAGCTATATTATCAATTGGTGGATAAAGGGGGTGCTGACTAAGCGTGCTTTCCCACGGAGGACATGACCACCCATACAAAGGCATGTGCAGGGGTGTGTTCCCAGGGTCCTTATCTTTCACTCCAGACCACATCTGGTCATCGGTTGTGAAACAGCTATGTGATTAGAGGCAGTTAATTAGAGTTATTAATGGGCTTTTTATTTAAGTACTATGGACCCTCTCCTCCTCCTCCCACATTTTCTAGCTTCTCCCTAACAACACTAATGTAATTTTTTAGTATTAAGAGACGTACCATGGTTATGTAAGATGGTAAGATTAAGGGAAGAGTCTTCCAGAAGTCATCACTCCTATACTTAAAATAAGATAGGTCTGGATAAAGTGGACATCAATAGCTTTTCTTGGACTCATTATCGAACTAAGGTTGCAAAACTGTTACTCTGAAATTTGGAGAGACAGGTAGATCCAGAGACATATGGGACATATAGGAACTGAGATCTGCCTACCTGTAGTAGGAGCCATAGAACAGTAGGAAGACTTAAATGGTAATTTTGACGAATTGCTGGAGGCTGAGTGTGACTGAGTAAGGACATCCTGGGGACCACGGACTTGTGGGTTTTCCCTCCAGGAACCAACAAAGGTTCTCCTGTGAGGATGGGAAAAGGTGCCCTGGTGGCTGGAGGGGGTAGGGGAGGCAACATGGGGGGAAATGAACCATTTTGAAACCGGCCCAGAGCTTTCTAATGACAGAAGCTTACTCTCCAGGAAAAAGGACTGGGTCAGAGTGCAATTCTGAAATCTTATCCCACCTAAGAGAAATGAGCCCCCTGCATCCTTGGTTTCTTATGTGAGGGGGTGAGTCGGGGGAGGGACATATATATCAATAGAGAATAGGGCTTCATGGAACTATGTTGGCAATGCTGCAGCCCGGGAAAGGAGTATGAACAGTGGAGAGAGGCATATCCCTGCAGGAAGAGTCAGAAACACTTGTGAAGGCTGCAGTCTCTGAGGCCCACTAAAGACTAAGGCTTCCTGACAGGTTACAGAATGCCATCCCTCTCCCACACTTTGCCATCACATCAACAGGTGTCCAGTGCAGTAAGTGTGGGTCACAGTCCAAGGAAATGCAAGACACACACTCTCTCTGAGGAATATGTAGGGAAGGCCCAAAGTCAAGAGAAGAGATGAACAAGAACCCTAAAGATATTTGAAGCTTATGGCATCTTTGATACCGCAAACATTAAACAGGGCCCCATTGATAGAGATCAGGAAGCTGGATCTACATAAAAGAGGAGCTTGCAAAAAGGAATGAACGATAAAACTACTTGCTGGGTTCTACATCACACATTACACCAGTAAACTAGAGGGTGGAGAAACTTCTCGTCATGCAATCCTTAGAAGACTATAATAAGACCTCTGTTAGTTAGTTCTATGTGCCAGGCCATTAGGAGGCAGGAGAACATTTAGCCTAAGAAACTAGATGAATTTTTGATTCAACCATTGTTTGGTTTTGTTTTTCATGTATTAATCACCTAATATCACCTAATACTTACTGTGAAATAAAAAGAAAGAATGTTTTAATAAGGAAATGTACTTTTACAAGTAATTTACATTCGTTATCTGAAAAGCTCATGAAAGAGTTAAGAGTATTTCCACCTTTGAAAACAGATACTTGAATGTGGGACTTTTAGGAAAAAAGAAAAGACAGAATTAAAGGCAACATTTTGAGGTACCAGGAAAAGGGACTCTTAGACTTCACAAATGCACGAGCAACTACAAAGAAGAGGCAAGGGGTCCCAAGTGTGCTTTACTACTCAGTGCAAAAGGCAAGTGTACCCTACATATTTAGGATAAGTTAATTGTATGGGGTTTTTAGACTTTTAAAATTTAGCCTTTCTGACCTCAGGCAGCTTCTCTGATCTTATCTAACACTGAAATTTCAAGGCAGTTTAACACAACTACACTAATTTAAGTGATTACTTCCAAAATAGGAAAGACACAGAAACTATCCTGTTGGAAATCAAAAATGGAAAAAATATAGACAATCGGTATCTAAAGAAAGAAAAAAGACGACGAGCAAACTTGGGCACCTATTAAGGAACGAGACATGTGTATCGAAAAGGAGAGTGTACTTGAAAACCATTACATACTACTCCAAGCTATGGGTTTAGTGTCTTGTCACAAAAACCACTGCAAATTAATCTGAATCTTGGCCAGATGACAGTCTGTTTGAAGATTCAACTACACTTAGGATAAAGATGACTCAGTGACCAATGAAGTCATGTACAGAGGAGTTGATACTCAATGTGTTCATTATACTCGTACTGCCTCTGGTGGCACATTCACACACCTGAAAAATCAAATCCAATTTAAAACGCTCACTCCAACAACGAGGTAAAGACCATGTGTGTGGTATACTACCAATTTTGCAAAAGTGGGGGAAAATGTTTATGTATGGAAGTGGTTTCCATGTGCTAAAATTTTAGTCTCTGGAGGAAGTGACAAGGAACTACTGATAGAAGCTGTCTTTTTTGGGAGGTGGGATGGCAATGGGAAAGGGAAGACTTTTCACTCTCTATGTCGAGAAACCTACTGAAGTTTATATCACGGACTGAATTACTCAGTCAAGAAAATTAATTTAAAAGCCACTTATCTAAAGACCCCATGTTTGGAAGCACATAACATCCTACTATGCACATTAAGTTTTAGGTGATCCAAATGGCAAGTCGACTGGGCTATTATACCAATGTATTTCTGCAGGTTTGGGAATACCGGTCTTGAAGATTTAAAACATGTGTTTCTCATGCTTGATTTAGCAGTAAATCTCTTTTATCTGTCACCTTGGTTTAACTCCCAAGCACGGCCCAAGGCCACACATGCAAATCGAATCCACCAGACAGCGAGGCTTTTAGGAAAGCAACTACTTTACCCCAGTAGGGAGCTCATAGAAAGAAAGTCTTCTTGATCAGATTACAACAAACCACCCCATAAATGCCTTTTCCAGTTTCCTAATACTTTTCGAGGAAATCATTCCCAACTGATCAGAACCAAGCAAACAACCCATGTTTACAGTACACTTAGAACAAAGAGGGAGTCTGATTGGAGCTCATTTAAGTGTTTGATCGTTCCATTAACACTGGAGCCAGCACTGGTCAAGACGGCAGAGGAGGTAAACCTCCTCCCACTACCGCACTAAATTTACAACTAAACTGCAGAACATCCATCATTGAGAACTGCCCGAAGACTAGCTGAACAGAAGTCCTGTGACTATAGAATATACAGAAGAAGCCGTGTTGAGATTGGCAGGAGAGGCAGGGGCCAAAACAAGTCAGCCCCATACCCTCACATGGTGAGTAAAAATGGGGAGGGATACCTCGGCTGCAGAGATCCCCACTGAGGAGTGCAAGGTTCCAGTCCAACACCAGGCTACCCATCTCAGGGTTCCAGTGCTGGCAAGAGAAGTCCCCATAACTTCTGGCTGTGAAAACCAGTGAAGACTGTGGCTGAGATAAAGGGCTGCTGGAGTCCCAGGCACTCCTCTTCAAGAGCCAGAGCATGCACTTAACCCTGATGGACTCTCTCTGAGCTCCAGCTCAAAAAGCACCAGGGACATGAGGGGAGGAATTGAATTGTCTGGCTTTGAGTGAGGGAAGGAGGGGAAGCTTTCTCCCACACAGAAGTGCTGGCAGAGGCCATTGTTCCTTTGCTGAACCTTCTCCCCGCAGAGCCTGCAGGCACCATATCTGAGGCTCCATCGCCTGGCTCACACCGTAGTTCCCTGAGATCCCACCCCACCAAATTTGCTGTCCACCCAAGTTGCTTGTAGTGGCTTTTCCATACAAGTGACAGGTCTTTGGCTCATGCTAGGGACTTTCCTAAAATCTCTAAAAGGTTTCCGAACCCTAACAGGCAGCACCTG